GTTTATTCTCATTTAAGGGTGTGTACAAATATATGTCTAAAGCTTACTGCTAAAAGGAATGCATGCGAAAGAAAATACGGAAAAAGAATGAATATTTACAAAGTTTCGCTCGCCTAAGCCCCACAACCTAGTGCCTACGCACTCCTACGTGTAATGGGAAAGTTAGAACATTGTAGTTCGGCTCACATATTTTGGTTTGTTTTGTTTTTTAATGGAACAATGCTAAGCTTCGCATTCTACCGCACCTCGACCTTTGGAGACTCACGCGTTTGTAGTAGAAAGTAACTAACATGTTCATACCTGACAAGATATCTTCAAAAGAAAAATGCCTAAAGAAGGATAATGCTTCACTCATGACTCTTTGACAAATAGACATGGTGCAACCCGACCTTTGGGGATTTATGCGTTGTACTGTCTAGAGTAGAACTAGCACATCTTTTTGAAAGTTTCGATGACAGGCCCTAAGACGAAAAGAGTTTGAATTGATTGATGTTTTTTACCTTGAAAAAAAAGGGTTTTTACATTATTAGAGTATTTTTGAAGTTTGAAAGAAAAATAAGGTTTTAGTTTTAATGCATATGCAAAAAGAGAAAGAAAAAGGCTAAGGGCAACTAACCTATTTTCTAACCCTAATGTTAACATGCGATGTTGATCATAAGGTTAAGGATGAAAGGAAAATCCTAACTATGTTAGCATACAAAAAACCCTAAAAGTGAGGATAATTATCCTATAGAAAACATACAAAGAGATCAAAGTCGTTATCTCAATTCTAATTGAATGACATCATCGATCATCAAATGAAAGCAATAAAATTCTATGGGGAGCAAGCAAAGATTGAAGTCATTATCTTAATTCTAATTGAGTGACATCATCGATCGACAAAAGCAAACACAAGCACAAACACAAATAGAAAATAAGTGTGGAATACCTACTACAGGTCTTTAAACAGCGACTTTGAGTGCACACTCTTTATTTCCTACTTCTCATGATATCTAGAAAAGTGGTAAGATGCGGTAAAAGGTTCAAGAGGTAAAAGGAAACATGTGAGAATATCGATCGAACAATAGTTCGTAACAAAGCAAATGAAAGCAAGAAACCCGAAAAATTTCGAGTAATCTTCATCAAGAAAGCACAATAGTCAAAAAATAATATTCATCAGAGGAGATCATGTGTGAAAATAAATCGCAAGTCACGAATGTGTTGCGTTGCATCAGAGTCCCTGAACAAGATAACACTATACAAGCAAAGCAATATCCAGACAATCGTAAATAGTATGTATTTTTCATGAAATGAGAAACAAGAACAACTCGCATCGGAAGCGAATCCAGACCAAATACTTTTCAATCACATATAACCAACACTTAGTTACATGATCGAAAGCTCTCATAATGTACCTTGCATAATCCACAAACTTGATTAGCAAATAGCAACGCAACAACAAGCATTAAATTACAACTCAAAAGTGATAATGGAATACAAGTGAGTGTAATAGAAATAGCAACGGAAGGTGAAAATCAAAACCAGACAGCACTATAATAATAATATGAAATAAACTTAAAGATGCAATGGAACCAAGAAAACTCAAACGCAATGGTGCACAAGTGATCAATAAAACATAAGCATACATCATATGAATGTCTGAGGTCAATGTGCATGCTAAATGGAAGCGAAAAGCACAAAACTCGAAAATTAGACGCACGAAAAGTCAGAATAGAATCGGCTCAAAATTACACGGGTAACTACAAACGTGCCAACAAGATAAGAAAACATATCTCATAGACCTCACCCCTCCTAATTTAGGCCTTGCGAACTCATTTGTGCCATTAGTTTTGGATGATTCGTATTGTATGATGAGATACGATGCAAACAATATGGAACGGTTCAAACATGGTATCTCATGGTTCAGTCACTATGGGACTCACACGATGGGTCTATCCTGCATAGTGATACCTCATAAGCATGTTAATAGCGTTAGTATGCATTAAAATAACATGAAAATATATATACGAATTTTCAAAAATACAAGAGAACCGGAGGTGCATGCATGCTGGTTTCGCGTGCTTTGGATCATCAAGACTGGTCTATTCTTACTATATGGTCTCTGAAGTCGAATGGGATAATATGTTTTGCTTGAAAGTGGTAGCAAATAGGGTTTTTAACTTGACCTAATTTTGAGAATTTTCAAGTTTTTTAGGAAAGGTGATCTTGCAAGGGTTTTTCGTGTGGTCTCTTGTCTAAAATACATGGAATATATAGTGATGAATTAGGTCAAAAGGGATTGGGCTTCGACCTTGTATGAAAAGCCTTGATTTTATCTTATTTAATTTTGAATTTAAAATAAATAAAATCAAAATAAATAGAATAAAAAATCCAAGAGGTGTATGAATAAGTTTTGAGGTTCATATTGAGGCCTATAACACGCATGGACCTTGAAACACAAACCCACTAGCCCAAAAATTCAAGTTTGGTCACTTTAGATTTCATACATTTTCTCAAAATTTCCCAACCTGCACCAATCATAACTCTCTCAATTTCTATCATTTTAAAATGATCTCTCACTTTTTAGAAATCTCAAAATGTTCTCTACAATCTCTATGTTGATCATTTTTGCATTTGAAGATGTTATCTTGATGTAAGTTTCCTTGACAAAAAAACATCTTTTTGTTGACTTTTGAAATGATCTATAATGTTTTGGCCCCTCAAATGAAGAATTTTTTGGACTTGAGCTTAAAGAGACAGAGTTGTAGAGAATTTAATTTCCTTCAAAATGAGCTTTGGTTGAGAAATATCTGATGAAACATGTGAAAGTTGTGCTTGGTCAAATTTCAATTGACTTCTCCTAAAGAAAACTCTAATTTGGTAACTTTTGACTTTTGATGAATCTTGAGTTTCCTTGATGAATCATAATCAACCCTTGATAAAATGATGAATGTGACATCAAAATCTTGATTAACCAAAAATATTAAGGTTTGACTATATGTTAACCACATTTGACTTTTTGTCCAACATAGTTGGTTTTGAGTCATCTGAGCATTTGACTGAGCAAACTTGTGATGTAAGTCTTAAAATTTGACACGAGAATTCCTTGAGACATATGAGAAGCCATGAAATCTACTTGAAGAATTATAAGCTCAAATTTCCTTGAGAGAAGTGAAACCTTAGTTGTAGATCAACTGCTTAGGAGGAAAATTTGTCTGATCAAATATTGAGTAGCCTTGAGCAATTGAAAACCCTAGGAGCATGAGAAGGTGTCTTGAAGAAAATGAGAGAAAAAATTTTAGGATACAACAATTAAGAATACATAATAAAAAATAATCTCTTTCATAATTTCTTATTCATATGCATAAACTTTAACCCATTCAAATAGTAGGAAAAGAAAAAGAAAAGAAAAACTCTAAAATGATTACTATTGTACAAAATTATTATGCCAATTGTATGATTACTACAGGTAAACAAATGGAAACCCATTTCAAATGTTTTAATGAAAAAGATGAGTTTATCAGATGTAACAAAATATATCTAGGTGTCGCGTCGCGAAAAAAATAAAGAATCGTTATCGAACTCTAGTTATCCCAAAGGAAAGGAAGATATCGAGAGAACCCCAAAGAAACAAATAAGATGGTCTTGTGATCAAGAGAAAGGGTAAGGAAGTCGGTTACGCGATGGGAAGGTATTAGTACCCCACACGTCTGTGGTACTCCACATGATCCACTTTTTGTTTGTTCTCATTTAAGGGTGTGTACAAATATATGTCTAAAGCTTACTGCTAAAAGGAATGCATGCGAAAGAAAATACGGAAAAAGAATGAATATTTACAAAGTTCCGCTCGCCTAAGCTTCGCAACCTAGTGCCTACGCACTCCTTCGTGCAATGGGAAAGTCAGAACATCGTAGTTCGGCTCACATATTTTGGTTTGTTTTGTTTTTTAATGGAACAATGCTAAGCTTCGCATTCTACCGCAGCTCGACCTTTGGAGACTCACGCGTTTGTAGTAGAAAGTAACTAACATGTTCATACCTGACAAGATATCTTCAAAAGAAAAAATGCCTAAAGACGGATAATGCTTCACTCACGACTCTTTGAGAAATAGATATGGTGCAACCCGACCTTTGGGGATTTACGCGTTGTACTTTCTAGAGTAGAACTAGCACATCTTTTTGAAAGTTTCGATGAAAGGCCCTAAGACGAAAAGAGTTTGAATTGATTTATGTTTTTTACCTTGGAAAAAAAAGAGTTTTTACATTATTAGAGTATTTTTGAAGTTTGAAAGAAAAATAAGGTTTTAGTTTTAATGCATATGCAAAAAGAGAAAGAAAAAGGATAAGGGCAACTAACCTATTTTCTAATCCTAATGTTAACATGCGGTGTTGATCATAAGGTTGAGGATGAAAGGCAAATCCTAACTATGTTAGCATACAAAAAACCCTAAAAGTGAGGATAATTATCCTATAGAAAACATACAAAGAGATCAAAGTCGTTATCTCAATTCTAATTGAATAACATCATCGATCATCAAAAGAAAGTAATAAAATTTTATGGGGAGCATGCAAAGATTGAAGATGTTGTCTTAATTCTAATTGAGTGACATCATCGATCGACTAAAGCAAACACAAGCACAAACACAAATAGAAAATAAGTGTGGAATACCTATTACAGGTCTTTAAACAGCGACTTCGAGTGACACTCTTTATTTCCTATTTCTCATGATATCTAGAAAAGCGGTAAGATGCGGTAAAAGGTGCAAGAGATAAAAGGAAACATGTGAGAATACCGATCGAACAATAGTTCGTAATAAAGCAAACGAAAGCAAGAAACCCGAAAAACTTCGAGTAATCTTCATCAAGAAAGCACAATAGTCAAAAAATAATATTCATCAGAGAATATCATGTGTGAAAATAAATCGCAAGTCACGAATGTGTTACGTTGCATCAGAGTCCCTGAACAAGATAACACTATACAAGCAAAGCAATATCCAGACAATCGTAAATAGTATGTATTTTTCATGAAATGAGAAACAAGAATAACTCGCATCGGAAGCGAATCCAGACCAAATACTTTTCAATCACATATAACCAACACTTAGTTACATGATCGAAAGCTCTCATAATGTACCTTGCATAATCCATAAAATTGATTAGCAAATAGCAACACAACAACAAGCATCAAATTACAACTCAAAAGTGATAATGGAATACAAGTAAGTGTAATAGAAATAGCAACAGAAGGTGAAAATCAAAACCAGATAGCACTATAGTAATAATATGAAATAAACTGAAAGATGCAACGGAACCAAGAAAATTCAAACGCAATGGTGCACAAATGATCAATAAAACATAAGCATACATCATATGAATGTATAAGGTCAATGTGCATGCTAAATGGAAGCGAAAAGCACAAAACTCGAAAGTTAAACGCACAAAAAGTCAGAACAGAATCGGCTCAAAATTACACGGGTAACTACAAACGTGCCAACAAGATCAAAGGAATCAAAATCGAAAATTAATTCGCACCGCAAGTACCACTTACCGATCCGGGCAGCCATGTGTACATAACGCTAAATACACCGAAAATGAAACCGAAATCGAGACGAATCACACACAATAATCCACAAACGAATCACAGAGTCTAAGTATGCATCAAGTAAAGTTCAAAACTCAAAGTTCATGCAAAACGAATTAAAATGCATTATTCTCAACAAAAATTAGGTGGAAAAATTAACATCTCGGAATTGAACGAAAATCATGTGGTTGCTCTCAAACGTGTCAACAGACTCAAAAAACTATATGGCTCGAGCTAAAAACGATCACAAGTGTTACTCTCATGCACGGGGCAGCAACTCGCATTTTTGTACAATTTAACCGAAATTTGAGTTATTCGTGAAAAATAGACATGGCAATGTGTTCCAAGGCTCAAGTATCACCGTCTTAAAATTTATGCACTAATTGGATATGATTGAAATGTAATAAAAACCTCAAAAATCAAGTAAAACAACAATTATGTGTTATCACAATTTTATTCCAATGTGAGATTTTACGTGTTAAGAAATGCCAAAGCATTCAAACATTGGTCCAAAATTATGTCAACTCACAACTTGCATTGCATTCTCATCATAATCAATTATGCAATTCACAAGAATTTTTCACGAGAAAGTTTTCACTTCATGCTACAACTTCTAATTAATTCCCATGATTAAGGCACAAAATAAATCTCATGTTGCAATTTCAACTCAACTCTTATGCTCAAGAAACAAACTCTACTCAACATCTCCAACCAAAGTTCAATCAATTCCACACTTAAAAATCATTATGTAACTCCTTAAAAAAAGTTATCTCTAAGTCATAACTCTCTTTATCATTTTATCAAACATCAAGCCTACATTAAATCAATTTATGAATTGTGCACAAAATCAATTAAGTCATGGCATAAGCATTCTTACAAACACCTATTGTGCTCTAATTCTTCAACATGTGTATCTCAACAATTAAGCCAAAATCAAAAACCTAAATATGTCCAACAATTTACATCAATTCTCACGAATATGCAATTTCAATATTATCACATATTATCATCAATTCCAATCCTCACATAGTCCAGTTTAATTCAACAAGAGTTCGAAGCAATTACGTCGAAGGAATTAAGGAATTACCGGAAAACGAAGATTGGAGAAGAATGACAGAGGTGCTGGCCGAAATCACGAAACCAGAGCAGGGAGGAATGGCCAGAGCAGTCGCGCGATGCGAAGGGGGAGGATGGGCCGTCAGACTTGTGCGACGGAAAGAGAACGAGGGAGGCAGAGCGATATGCGACAGAGGGAGAATGAGAGGATCGTCGGAGGGAGCTCGCCAGTGAGCTTCGGGCGGCGTGAGATGGTGGCTGCCGGAAACTTAAAGGAGAAGATGAACTTTTTGAGTTTTTGTGTTGATGTTCTTGAGAGTTTGTTATGAAAAATTGAGAGAAAGTGTATTTTTGATCTTGGAGCAAAAATGAGAGAAAGTTGTGAAGTGTTTGCGTGTGATCAGAAAAAGGTGAGAGAAAATTTTGATTTGAATATATATCTCTATCTCAAATTTGGTATTGGGCCTTAGAGAGAAGTTGGTCCCCAATTGGGCCTCAATTTGACAATGTAAGCATAACGCGACCATAAAATGCCATGTCGTCATAGGTGTGAAATCTCGACTCGAGTTTAACACGAAAAGTAAAGATTACAAAATTTGTGACGCGATGTCGAAAGAACGGGCTCAATCAGATAAACGATGAGAAAGTTATGAATTTTTGAACATGCGCTGACATTGTCTCAGACACATTTCTTTTCAACTTCAAAATTTTTGTCATCTCGCTTGCGATTTAGACTATAAACGGAAGCCTTCAGAGTACCGTTTGAACTCGAAGCCTGAAGCAAAGTCGGGGCTAACGAAATTTGTGAAATTATGCTAAAAGAATCGTCTCGATACGATAAAAATCAAAGACGTTGTGATTTTTACAATATCGGAAAACGGTAAAATAAAATTTTGGTTCAGCACCACAAAATCTATGATAATTCAAACTTCCAGGGACCTTCTGCAAGGAATCAATTCTCGGTCCGAACATACGGAATGAAGATAAAATCAAGACAGATTTTTTCCCAAAAGAACGACTCAGAAACATCGCTCCAAATGAAAGTTATGAATTTTCGAACGTCCGAAAAATAACGGTTCAGCACAGTATTTTTACCGTTTTTCCATTGTTTCTTCTCAAAGTATCTGCACGTTCGGAGATCATTCTCAAAGAATTTGCCCTCGAGCCAAATATACGAATTGAAGGAGACATCAAGGCAAACTTTATGGCCGAAAAACCGCTTCGAAACAGTATTCCAGTCAGAAGTTATGAATTTTCAAGCGCTCCTGCAATGACGGAGCAACAATCAAATTAAGTACACTGTCTTCAAAGAATTAAAATTTCTGGAGGTCTACTTCACAAAATTAGCCTTCGATCCGAACACGAGAAACGATAAGAAAATCATGACGGTCACAATGCTCGAGTAGTCAACTGAGAATACTGAATCGGATGAAAGATACAAATTTTTAAACACCCAGGAGACAGATAACCAGTCATTAAATTCAAGTATCGCTTCAGGGAAATCAAATTATTTTGAAGACTTTCTGCACATAATCGGCTTCCGGCTTGAACATATGAAAAGGGGAAAATACCAAGACGGTCTCAATGCCTGAGGAATCAACTCAAAGCAGTATCCGATTGCAAGATGCAGATTTTTAAGCTCAAACCAGTAAAAGCGCTGTTTCTAGTTCACACTGTCCCAAATTCACTGAAAAGCCCAGTTCATCTGCAATTCAAAGTGCGTTGAAAGACATGAGAGCTTGACATGATGATGACTTGATTGATCAATGATTTGATGGCCTGTGAATCATGCAGAACACACTTAACCTTGAAAACCCAGAGTTTTGTATTGTTGTGTTGTCCGACGGAACAATCTGTTTTTGCGGCTTTTGGAAAGAAATACCTTGATCCCATGACCATTTACTGATTAATAATGCATGCAATGCTAGATGACCTACTGAGGAGTATGTACCTGAAGGATGTGAGATACATAAGTCAAATGATCCTTATAAAAGGGTATGACAAATTTGAGATATGACACTAAATTTGATTGATTGAGTGATTTGTGATTGTTGTGAAGGATGGCAATTTGTTTGTAGTTTCCAAGAGTTTCTTCAAATCCCTTTGCTAGAGAAATCATTGATAAAATGATGGACACCATGAGATGAGAGATCACACGGTTTTGTTTTATAAATGCCTCAGTCAATAAGTTCAATAAGAAGGCAAACCGTGGCCGCTAAATCAAATGAGAAGTGCGCTCGTGTTAAATTCAATGCTTGTACATTGCCTACTCATTTCTTTTAAGACATGCCACAGACACGACACATGTTTTCTTCACATTGACAACAAAGTTTTATATTGATATATGACATGTAGAATTATGATAAAAATATGAATTGCACAATGTTTTGAATAAGTGATTTCTTATTACTAGACAGTAAGAGTACAAATTTATGTGCCACATTACAAAGCTGTGTCAATATTGTAACCATTCAGTATCCACAGGAAAGATAACCATCTAAATTTTAAATAAGTGCTTCTTTTCATAAATATCATGTTGAAGGCGAATATACTGTGAATATAATGAGCCATGGTACAGTCCTCTATGAAAGCCTTCAAGACAGTGCCATGTGACCATTAATGAGCCATGGCTCCCACTAAACCACATTCAATAATTCATTCACCATACAATTGGTTTTATATATATATATATATATATATATATATATATATATATATATATATATATATATATATATATATCATACTTTGAAGCATCAGAAATCAAGTTCACTTCTTTCTTCTATTACTTATTTGAGATCATTCTATTGTCAAGAAACAAAACCAAGAATGGGTTTTCGTTTACCTGGTATTAGACGACCATCATTCAGTGCAAGCCAATCATCTAGCAAAGAAGTGGAAGTCCCAAAAGGATATCTTGCAGTGTAAGTTGGAGAGAAAGCGAGGAGGTTCTTGATTCCAATATCATTCTTAAACGAGCCTTTATTTCAAGAATTACTGAGTCAAGCTGAAGAGGAATTTGGTTACTCTCATCCAATGGGTGGTCTAACCATTCCCTGCAAGGAAGATGTCTTCTTACATACAGCACCTTGCTTAAATGGTCTACAATTAATTCATATTGAATAAAAAGTCATATTTATATGGTAACATAGAATAGTGTGGGATTGACTAGTTGAGACAATTTTTGCACATATGAGGAGTTTTGTTATGTTACCTGTTAAATGGAAATCTGAAATGAGAATATCATCAAACTATATTCTTGTGAATTCAATTCATATGTTGTTTATTGTGCCATCTTAAATACTTCCATTACATTCACAAACACAAGCCATGTACCAATTTTATGGATATGGTCTATTATGTACTAATAGATATGGTAATTCAAAAGTAGTATATATTACCACGCCATACATGATATACAACAAAACTCAAAACAAGAATTGTTCACATAATATGTTGCATTTTTCTAGTCATGCTTGAAGAAGGTGGTGAAGACATAACCACAAAGACTTCTTGTGCTCTTCACATGGACTTGTTTTCGAAGTTGTAGTCCAAAAGCACGCAATGAATGGCAACCCTTTACTCTAAATTAGGGATGTTAACTTGCATTTGTTAACGGGGATCTACGTGGGAATTATCTGTACAGAGCTCTAAAATCGGGGATTTTTCCCCGTCGAGACAGGGATGGAGGAAAAAGTTCCTCTGATGACACTTCAGGGAGGGGATCAGGAAAGTACCCTCCACCCCGCAGATTCCCCGACCCTGACCATATTATTTAACTTTTATAGATATTTGGAAATAAAAAGTCGTCAATAAATCACTTTATTTTTTGTTTCATTGAGTAACGTATTGTTTCACTATCCAGGTATCCAACCCTAAAATGTGCACTCATTATATGTAGTGTACACACAATCTCCTATTCTTCTCTTCTTAATTCTCTTTGTCTCCTCCATTCCTCATTTTCTATGTTCTCATCATCATCACAACAACCATTATCCTTCGTTCATTGTTCATGAGGTAATTACTCATCAACTTCACTATACTTCAATTAGTAACATGTTTTAGTGGTTATGTTTTTGTAACAACAAGTGCTTTTGTATTTTTTTGTTATTGATGTAACATGTGTTTTATTTTTTTTATAAAAAAAAAAAGAAAGATACAAAATATAAGTTTAAAAAAAGTAAAAAATCACGAAATAGTAGTGTCATAGTTTTAATCAAAAAGTACAGAAATTTTTTTAAGATTCAATCTCCGATTCTCTGTGGGGATCTGCGGGAATGGGGATGGAGAAAAATAATCCCCTGTAGCGGGGACCGGGGATGGGGATGAGGAAAATAATGGGAAGCAGGAAAGCATCCTCCGCACATTCTCTGTCCTGTTGACATCCCTACTCTAAATTCCTAGCAGCCCTCCACTACTCATAAAAGTGTATATTATGTATTTTGTTAATCAAAAGACTATCACAACCTCCTTGCATTTAGTATACTCAAATTAAAAATATACTTTTGGTAAAACCAGGGCTTACCACTTTTTGATCCAATAATGAAAAGTCTTCCATTGACAAACCCAACATTCATTTTGATTGAATTTTTGTCTTTTTTAAGGATTTTGTTTTTCTTTTTGTTCTTGAATTAGTAACATATTAAGAACATAGAAGTCATTTAATTTAATACCATTTAAAGGTTTTTTGGTTAACTAAGAATCAAATAGTCATCTCAAACGTAAAGCTCCTTAAAGTTAGAAACTCATTTAAGTTGAGCACTTGAAATAGTCGGATACTTCAAAAGCAGCAGTAAGTATCAGAAGCATAAGGAATATGTAAAAATTGGATGCTTAGCTCTAAGATAGCTTATCAACTATTAGAGTTTTGAAGCAAGTCATTAGCATTGAAATGAAATGAAGACAAGAAGAATATACAAATAATTGAAGAAGGTGGTGGTGACCATAATCACGTGAACTACCCACACTCTTCATATGGATTGAGGTCATAGTTGTTATCCTATAACGTGAAGCTCCGCTATCCGGGATTGATAAGTCTGACACAGGTGTTTAAAGCTAGAAACTCATCCAAACTTATGTGTGTTTATCAATTTTAAATGGAGAAGTTTGACTAGTTTGACACTTAAAAGATAGTTTGGCGACACCTATGACTGTTGAACATAAATATATCCAGTATGTCTGCTACTTGGAGTTTTAAACATGTCTACTGATAAATTTTGACTGCTGAACAAGCCTTTGATGAAAGTTCCGAGTTACCTCCCTACATTTATGATGATTTGCATCCAACTATGCAATATCTATCTATATTAGAATTCACACAACATCAGACCTTTTTTGTAGCTAGCTATATGTCAGCACTGAGCCGTGTTACCAATATGAAGAAAACATGTGACATGTCTAATGCGCGTCTACAAAAATAAGAGTATCCATAATAAATCAAAGCATTAAGTTTAACATAGCCATCTCATTTTTGACTTTTAATTGGGTTGCCTATCTAATGGGTTGCCTATTCAGAAGGTGGGGCAAGCAGCAAGCTATAACCTGACCGTCCAAGACAATACCATGTGGTGATCCCTCATGTTATCCCTATAAATTTGCATAATTTTTGAAGAAGATTTCATTGTTAATTGATTGGATTTAAATTACTGGTAGATATCACTTGTCTTAAAAAAAAAAGAACAAGATATTTGATGTGTTTAGAACTTGTCTGAAAATATATTCAGTTAGATATCTCAAGTCTCTTTCATAGGCTAATTTTCCAAAAGGTGGGGCATGTAATCTCACATTTCGTACAGTCCTCTATGAAAGCCTTCAAGACAGTGCCATGTGACCATTAATGAGCCATGGCTCCCACTAAACCACATTCAATAACTCATTCACCATACAATTGGTTTTCTATATATATATATATTCATTAGTGAGTTTACAAGTAACACAAACCATTCATACTTTGAAGCATCAGAAATCAAGTTCACTTCTTTCTTCTACTACTTCTTTGAGATCATTCTATTGTCAAGAAACAAAAACAAGAATGGGTTTTCGTTTACCTGGCATTAGACGATCATCATTCAGTGCAAGCCAATCATCTAGCAAGGAAGTGGAAGTCCCAAAAGGATACCTTGCAGTTTATGTTGGAGAGAAAGCGAGGAGGTTCTTGATTCCAATATCATTCTTAAACGAGCCTTTATTTCAAGAATTGCTTAGTCAATCTGAAGAGGAATTTGGTTACTATCATCCAATGGGCGGTCTTACGATTCCCTGCAAGGAAGAAGTCTTCTTACATACAACATCTCGCTTAAACGGCCTATAATTAATTCATGGTGAATAAAAAGGTCATATTTGTCTGATAACATAGAATAGTGTAGGACTGACTAGTTGAGACAGTTTTTGTACCTGAGGAATTTTGTTATGTTTTCTTTTAAATTGAAATCTGAAATGAGAATACCATCAAACTATATTCTTGTGAATTCAATTCATATGTTGTTTATTGTGTGATCTTAAACACTTTCATTACATGCACAAACACAAGCCATGTATCACGCCATACATGATACAACAAAACTGAAAAGAAAAACTCTTCAAAGGAAAAAACTTTCGTTAACCTGCAAAGGTTTTCAACTTGGTTGACACGTGATAGAATTTTGGAAGCAAGTCAGTAGAAATAAAATTTAAAAACATATCAATAATTGATCACATAATATGTTGCATTTATCTAGTGATGGTTAAAGAAGGTGGTGGAGACCATAATCACAAAGACTTCTCGTGCTCTTCATATGTCCGGACTTGTTGTCGAAGTTGATGCCCGAAAGCACGCTGCAATATTTGGTTAACTAAGAATCAAATAGTCATCTGAATCGTAAAGCTCCTAAAAGTTAGAAACTCGTGGAAGTTGAGAAATTGAAATACTTATGACTGACTGCTGAACTTAAAATATATGCGGTATGTCTGCTGCTTGTGGGTTCAAACATGTACTGGTGATATATTTTGAGTGCTGACCAAGCCTCGGATGAAAGTTCCATGTTGCCTCCCTACAACAATTATGATGATTTGTATCCAATCCACTTGAGCATTATCCATCTACGCTAGAATTCACACAACAGCAGAACTTTTAGTAGCTAACTATATATGTCGGCACTGAACCGTATTATCAAAATGAGGAAAACATGTGACATGTGTAACGCGTATCCGTAAAAAATCAAAGCATTAAGTTTAAGCTAGCTAGGCATCTCATTTGACTTTGAATTAATTGGTAGGCATGTTGTAAATGTTGTCCTGGGAAAAAGGGTGAAATGAAAGAGATAGAAACACAAATTGGCAATCTACTATTGTTTGATGTATCACAGAATTAAATTGAATTGAAAGCTATGTATATGGTGAATTTGCATCTAACACAGAATTAAATTGAATTGAAAGCTATGTTATGATATGTATATGGTGAATTTGCATGTAACACAGAATTAAATAGAATTGAAAGCTATGTTATGATATGTATATGGTGAATTTGATGTTTTCTATAACACAGAATTGAATTGAAAGCGCATTTGATTAGACATTAGAGTAGAGTGAAAAGAAAGTATGCATAAGAATGATAGAATAAGAGTTTGTATAATAACCAAATCAGAACAAGAATTTAATTCAACATAACACCAGCACCTGCCTGCATTGTTCAAAATCTTCATGATGGACACAACCTGCATTGTTCAAAATCTTCATGATGGACACAACCTGCATTGTTCATTGTTCAAAATCTTCATGATAAAGGAAAAGAAAACCCTAAATTCAAAATGAAAGAGAAAAGGAACGTAGTAATAATGGAAAAGGAACAAAACCTAAACAAAAAGGAACGTAATAATCGAAAGCGAAGTGCAGAACAACAAAACCTGAACGAGGGAAAAAATCGCAAAAAAATTTGGACCATTTCTCGATTTGTGCGTGTCATCCTTGCGCAGGGGCCATGCTAATCTTCTCTGTATCGTTCCAATTTTATCGGATGTCCCCGAAGGGACAAGCTATGAGTGAGTATCTCTTGTATATAAACACAGCAAAAAATAACAAACCAGCCTATGTGGGACTAAAACTATTGCTTTGCCCAAACCGCTTCTAATTTTTCCTCTTCAATATGCATCTATATATATAATTTATTTTTTGCTACACTAATTATCTAATTTAACTTTAACTAATTAATTTCTAAAAATCTCCTAATTCATTTTCAATTTTTTTATTTGTATACTTAATTAAGATTATCCACTCAATTTTTATGAGATCAAATCTTCATCTACAGTAATGAATAAGTTGTTATGTTTATGAGATCAACATATCAAAGTCAATCTCTTAAGGATAACACCTACTGTAAAGTGACATTCGCTCAAATCTCTTATGATCTTAATCAATAAATCTCTCCAATGATGGTATTAATCAATTAGGTGATATGCATAATCGATTATGAGAATTAAAAAGCACATATATGGTTTTCATTTTTTAGCCAGATTTCTCTCCTATAAATAGAGAGTTCTCCTCACTTGTAAATCACACCAGAAAAAATATATGACTCATTATATTTACTAGATTTATGGGTATCAGGTGTATACCTGATTGGCTCTAATGCTAGTGGGAGATTGTTGGTGTAAGCCCTATGGGTCAATAGTTTTATTAGAACTTGGTATTTGTATCGAATTATTTATTAATAATTAAAAGGCATTTATTTATCTATCATGTTTGTTTTTCTAAAATAATGAAGTCCTTACAATAGCTAGTCTGTTAATGAAATATTAAGTGTGACTTAATCATTAGATCTCATTAAACATAAGGACACTACTTTTAAAGTATTTATAGTCGAACTTTATTGTGAAGTGGGATAATATTAAAGCATATATACTATTATATGGATAGGTTGATGATCGCATCTCATGGATCATGAATAAAGAGTTACCAAGTCTCCATATAGGTATCAGTGTTAGGATTAATATTCATACTAGATTGACCCTCTATGAGAATACTACATAGAATGTTATGGAAAGTGTCTTAAGTTATTCTCATCGTGATAGTGGTGTATACCACCCTTTGACCTAAAAACAGTATGGACTCTAGATGTGGAATCGAGTACTTTATTGTTGATCAAATGTTGTCAGTAGCTAGAGGACCATAAAGACAGTTGATGGGTATTCCACAAATCATGTTGAAGGACATGAGTGACCTAGATGAGATTTTCCTATCCTACATAACAAAAGAAATGTCTAAAGGTCCAATAATGAATTGGATAAGGGTGACATGGTTTATGCCTTGCGTTTAATATAGACATGAGGGGAAAAGAGTAAATATACACACAAGCATTATCATGATAAGGTCTTTGTTAAATCACGTGGTATTTTCGTGATTTGGGTAGTAGTGATGTGTTGCTAGATACCGCTCAATGCTTATTATATAAAATATGTGATTTAATATAATTTCCAACGTCAGAAGAACCTACAGGGTCAAACACATAAGCACATATTGATGAGAGATGGAATAAATAAGGAATACCATAAGGTACGGTGTACTTAAGAGAATTATGGAACATCGTAAGATATAATGCACTTAAGTTGAATACATAATAAGGTAAGACACAGTGGGATTAAGTGAAATATAGTACACCATAAGGTACAATAACTTAAGTGGATTTCAGCTTGTTACCCATACAAGTGGTTTATAAATAGAACCCTTGTGCAAAAACTTTTTCACTTGATGCAAATTTTGTTTCAACTCTCGTTCTCTCAGAGTCTTCATTTGTAGCAGCTAAAACTAAGATTAAAGACACTCTGTTCGTGTGGACTAGGAAATGGAACTGTTCTTCGTTCATCGCTTGTGATCATTCATCTGATTCTGCATCAAAGGTTTTAATTACCACAAGAGATACATGTTTCTATCACTGATCATGCTCATTCATAAGGATCAAATAAATGGAATTTTTGTTTTCTGGTGCACATTGTATCATAATTTCCCTTTAGTCGCATCAAATCCACTTACGTTAAACCATGTATCAGATATCTGCTTATTTTTTATACTTTGTGTATTAATTAGATTAAAACACATAATGAATTAAATAACAAGATAAATTAAATATTGGTATCATGTTTGTATAATTTGGATTGATCGTTGTTGGCCATGCTTTGAAATCCTATGTTTGTAAGGTGAAGCAGCGATACTTTGACCATTCATAATTGATATATATGTGATTGATCAATTCATATAAGATATGAATAACTCTCATTCAAAATCATTATATTTAAAATGATTTTTATTTCATTGATTGGATTAATGTAATGATTATGTTTCATATGAATTGTCAATGTTCATTTTGCTTCATAATCCAACGTTTGTATGGTGAAGCAATGACATTTAGATCATTTGAGTTGAATATCGATCATTACATTTTTTATAGTATAAATGTGTTGCACTAGAGTTTATGACGACACAAGAGTTGCGTTGCCAAAAATTATAATTTAGGGTTTATGACTGTAACACTGATAAGTGCAAATTGTAGTTATTTTTGTGTATAAGTTTTGTTGCACTTATCGATACTTTTTGTTAATATCGTTTGAATAATCTCAATTTTGTTTGTAAATACGTTTAGTTTGTGTATATAATAGAATATTTGAGTTTTTATGTAAATATTGTATCATTTGATAGTTTTTCATCTCTTTTGTAGGTATTCATTCATAATTGGAGCGTTGAGTAATAAAGACCAAAGGCTAAGCTTCAAGAATGCAATTTTTAGCAATTCATCAAAGAATAAATCTCAAAAAAAGATGAGAAAAATCATCAATTTGGTTTATATTTTGTCATTTTTAGATAGAACATTGAATAAGTTTTCCAACGCTTCATACCGTGTGTAAATCGGAGTTACGGTTCTCAAGTTATGGCCGAAACAGTGCTGGATTTTTCAATTTACTGTCAGGATCTCCCCGAGCTTGCCGGGCGAGCCAGAGGCGACTAGAAGAGTGAAAAAATGCATTTTTGAATGTCAGGCGAGTCGTTTTGAGTGTCAGGCTAGACAGTCTGGACAGAAACATATTTTAAGGGCCAAAAACACATTTTTTAGGTATGGGTTGGGTACTTTTGAGTCCCAACACCATCAAACCCATTTTTTCATAGAGAGAGCTTAGAAAACATCAATTGGGGTTGCATCTTGTCGAATCGGAGGTGGATTCTCACCAATCGTCTTGACAACTCGAGAAGTGTTGGTTTATCTCTTTTTCCTCTTTCTGTAAACTCTATTTTGTTGGGTTTTGTTTGTAGATTTACTTTGAACATATGCATATGTATTGATCATTGTGATACGGTGGCCAGAACCGGGACGTGTTTCCCTATTTTTTAAGGAATTTGCTAGTTTGCGTTTTGCGTTTGTGTTCGCAAAATATCGTGGTAAGCAAGAGTCGCCACCGTCTTTTATTTTATCCAACAAGGAAAGGAAAAAAGCACAGAAAAATTCCTTTTTCGAGATATTTCTGAGTACGGGGATAGATTATAGAAAGGGAAGGTATTAGCACCCTTTCTATCCGTGGTTTTCCATGGGCTCTTAGGTACTTGCTCATCATTTTCAAAATTGTTTTCTTTGTGTTTGTGGGCTTTGAAAAGTTTTTGTTTTAACTTCGATTTAACTCTTGCTTCTGTCTTCAAGAGTGTAATGAAGTGTTTTTGAAAACTTGTTTGTAAAGGAGTGTAAGTGTGAAAAAGTTTGTTTGGATTGAGCAAGTACTTAAGAACTAATCTACCTACTCGAAAAAAGAATCGTTCTATGTTTGTTTCCTTTAGACAATGCTATCCCACTATTAGTGAGTAGGTAGCATCGCCGTTGGAGTTTTGAGGGTCAATTCAAAAGGGACGTACGGTCACTAAAGCAATGTTAGGATGTCTCAGTAATAACCCTAATATCTTAGATCAATCATCCGAGGCAACAATATCTGAGGCAACCTTTCCGAGGCAACTTTGATCTTTGGACAAAAGGACGACCACTAAAGCATCCTATACTCAATGACCGTTTACCGAAGGCAACCAAGTGGGAGTGTACCATAGGAGTGCGCATGTGCGAATGATTCAATTTCAGATTATTTTATCTTTGCACATTTAGGGTGATCTAACTGTTTTAAAATTAGTCATACATTCTTGTCATGCATCCTATTATCAAACATCTAACAGTTAATAATTTGCGGAATTTAAAAGTGCGGAAATTAATCTAAGCTATTACAAGGCTTCGGGTATTTACATAGCCAAAAACAAACCCTTGAAAATTTAAGCGATAAAAGTAAATAAGTGTCCTAATTTAAATAATTACAAACTGTGAGCAGATACAATATTTGGGATAAAAAATAAAATAAAGCGCGCGATGACAAATTAGATCGACGAGAAATTAGGGTTTTGACCCTTCTATCCTAATGAAAAGAAAATTGTTTTTTTTGTTGTTTTTAATATATTTTTTAAGAAAATAAATTAGGTTTTAAAATTAAATGCTAAATTAATTAGTTATTAAATTAATGGAAATAATTACATGACATATTTTTGGTTTTTTTGGTTATTTTAGGGAAAAAATAAAATATAATTAAGTTAGTAATAAAACCTATTTATTCTAATTAATTTTAATTATTTGCAAAAATAGGAATTAAAGTTACCTAAATTAATAAACCTAATTAAATTAATTGATTTTTTAATAAAATCTAGACCTAATTTGTGGAAAATAATATTTTTGTGATTTTTTGATAAAAAAGAAAATAATTTGATTGGTTAGTAAAATAAATAAATGAAATAATATAAATATAAAAGAATTAGAGAAAAGCAAATTGGGCCTGCAATGTGGGGGTGCAAAGAGCAATTTCCTAGGCCCATTAGTGATGGAGTCCGTTTAACTTTTGAGATCCTATGTGGCACGCTTGACTTGGCTCATGATGCACCTTCAGATGATGGTCATCAGATTTGGCCATCTGACACTTGGTCGGCTAGATTGGGAGGATGCATGGTAGTCATTGGCTTCATGTATGTACTGAATCGCCTGCAAGAAAATATGAAAATAACAAATGCTGGAGGCAAGGGTCGAACCCCTGACCTCCAGCCTTCCAATGCCTTAAAGTGTGCCTGGATACCACTGGGCCATCTATCCTTGTTGTTACAATATTGCAAAACAATAAACAAATAATAAAAGATCATTTTATATCAAATCCGCGCGCAAAATTCAAATGGCCAAATCAGGGGAAGACACGTCTTCATCTCCCTCCTTGCACCGTCGCTAAAGGTTTGATAACCTATACCTACGGACAATGTCCGTCGCTACAGCCCTGTCAATTCTTAAAATCACATACACGTGATATAAATGACCACCAAGGCCATGGTTAGATTCGTCTCATCCTTCTGGACACGATGGTACCTTTTATCAAGGCCAATTTTCCCTACATACAAAAACCCTGATTCGAAGCTTCGAACCCTAACAATGGTGAAATTCGCTACAGGCTATATAAATGAAATTAAATGATGCAGAAAGCTTGCATATGTTCCATAGATCAAGAATATGTGGTTAATTCATCCTAACAATGCCTAAATCATGCTATTCGAATTCAAGAAAAGAGCTATATCGTGAGCGACTTACAATGTAATTTGGGGCTTGGAAAGCTTGGTTCTTGATCGCTTTAGCTTGCTGAGAGTCCCAGGAGTCGATTGGGATCGTTCAAAGGTCCTGAAACTATCTCCAAATGGGATTTCAATCTTACACTTTTCTTGATTTTTTCCAGATTTTGTTCTTGCTCATACGCCTGTCTCCAACATGTTTTTAGGTCTGCCTCGCCTCCTTATGTACCAAGGACTGAATTAGGGTTGATAACTGCATCCAATCTTCCTCCATCAATGATTTTTGATTTGATTTGATTCACCTTTAAGATCTTTCCAAACATAGCCTAAATCCAATCTTTTTGTGCACACATGCCTTTACACGATTTTGAATGCTTGCTATCTGTAATTTAATACCTGAAACAATCACAAAATCTTTGGTTTTCAATGTTTTTTGATTTTATATGATTTGTTTTGATTTAAATTGAATTAATTCAAATAAATACCAAAATAAATAATAAAAATAAGATATGGACAAGTGGAAAAGGCTAGAGCTCGTGGACTATGTTGCCAACTCAAAACAAGTGAAAAAGATTGGGCCCATTTGGCAAAATTTGAAGTTTTAGGGATAGTTGACTTTTGGCAATTTTGCAAAAAGGGTCAACTTCACCAATGCACAACTTCCTCAATTTTGACTCTTTGGAGATGTTCTTGGACTTTTTAGAAATCTTGATATGTCCTCTAGGCAACCCTTTTGGTCTCATCTCAATTTGATATTCCATGCTCATGTATGAAGCTTTGACAAAAAAGGTGTTTTTGTTGACTTTTCAAAATGACCTATAATGTCCAAATTCATAACTTCTTGTGAGTGCATATTTTGAACTTGGGAGATGAAGATGGATTGTAGATAATTGCATCCTATTCAAAATGAGCTTTGGATGGGTCATTTATCATAAAGTATGAGAAAGTTATGCTTGGTCAAAGTTGAGTTGACTTTTCCTACAAAACCCTAATTTAGCAACTTTTGAATCTTGATGAATTATGAGCAATGCTTGATGAATCATGATCAACCCTTGATCAAATGATGAAAGAAACTTCAAAATGAGGATGTTGACCAAAAATCTTGAAGTTTGACTTTATGTGGGCCACAGTTGACTCTTGCCCTAGCACAGTCGATTTTCAAGCCTTTGAGCAATTGACTGAGCAAACTTTCTCTGCAAGGCTTGAAACTTGACATGGATGATCTTGATAACATATTAGGACATTGGTGAGCATTTGGGATCACTTGGACTCAGGTATCTTGATGCAACATGAAACCCTAATTTGAGGTAGACTGTCTTAGGAGAGAGCTTGTCTGGCCAACCCTTGGACCACCTTGAGCAACTCGGGGCTCTTTCTTGAAATGTTTTGAGAAATATGGGAGGGCAAATTTTGGGGTACAACAGCTGCCCCTGTTCAATTTTCTTAAACCTGGGGATGTAGATTAGCTTTCGTGCATTTCGTGATCCGAAGGTGGAAGATGATTGAACACTAGAGTGCCCAGAAATTTGCACTCACATGATGTGGTAATTGTCTTCTGATGTCGGGAATGGGATTACAGATGCCATTTGGAAATTGCTGACGGGAGATGGGCTTAAAGATGTCATCTGAAGGAGTGTCGATCGCATAAGAGATTCCTTAGCGAGAGCTTGTATATCTGTTGTTGAGGAAGATTCCGCTAGGGAAGGTTGGTCTTTGTTGAAAGAGGTAGAATTTTAGGAGCTTTGGTTGTCCGTTATTCTGCTGGAGAGTCGTCTCTGTTTGAATTTTAGGAACTTCGGTCATTCGTATTCTACTTGGGAATCATTTCTGTTGACATTTAGGAGCTTCGGTCATCCATTATTCAACTGAGGAATCATCTCTGCTGACATTTAGGAACTTCAGTCATCCGTTATTCAACTGAGTAGTCATCTCTGCTGACATTTAGGAACTTCAGTCATCCGTTATTCAACTGAGGAATCATCTCTGCTGACATTTCGGAACTTCAGTCATCCATTATTCAACTGAGGAAAACATCTTTGTCTTGAGGAAGCGGAAGTGAACTGCGTATCTAGCCGTGTACAGGCTGCATTGCGACCTACTAGGGAAAGATGAAACCGATCGTGTTTGATAGGTCTGGATCTTACAGTGTTGTGGACTGCTGTCTGGAGATAAGAGAAAAGAAACCTGAATAGTAGGGCTTATGAGAAGGAACCTGGGTAAGGTTGCTTCGTGAGGAGTTTGGATAAAATTGCATCTGAACCAAGCAGGAACCTGGGTAAGGTTGATTTGTGAGGAGTTTGGGTAAAACTGCATCTGATCTGAGAAGGAACCTAGGTAAGGTTGCTCCAGGATGAGTCTAGGTGAAACTACATCGGGAAAGAGAAGGAACCTGGGTAAGGT